GGTTCTGGCCTGCCTTCCGAGAGGAGCACTACTATGGGTTGGTTAGTTGTGGCTGATTTAGCTCTTCCATTGTTTCCGTGTTTATTTGAGGTTGTAAGGTTACATTCACACCTTAGCTGTACAGTGCTGTAATAGACTGCCAAATATATTTTTTTGCTGGGTAAGAGAAAGGAACTGGATAAACACCTGTAAGGAAACCTGCTCTGCTTAGCGATTTGTTTTGTGAAGCGTATTTGGTGATGGTATTTGCTGGTGATCCTGGAGCCTCGATTATTCCGAGTGCTCCCAAATCACATGCAGCAGTCGCGGGATTCTCCACCTTCAGGAACGAGATTCATGGGATTCCTAGTTTCTTCAGTCAGGATATCACTGTCGAGTAGGAAGCACGGAAGCGTGCAGGCGTGAAGGCCGCGTTGCTTACTCTTCAGCAGGATCTATTGTTTCCGGCAGTTATATCCGTGGGGGTAGTAGTTCGACGGATTGTCGTTGACAGTTGTTCCCCAAGGCAATTGAGAATACTTTCCATTGGATCATTCAGTCCACAGATTCCTACGTTTCACAATTTACGTTTCAGGACGGAGTCCGTATGATTGGTCGCTCTTGCACGCATGATTGAGCGCACGTCATGTCTATCTGCATAGGAGCTCGTATTAGGTGACATCGCTTTGGGGTCTCTGTTCAACGGTAGGGTATTCAAGAGGAGGTTCGGGCGGGAAGTTTAGTAAGCAGTCAATCTATTGATTGAATTCAGCCCGGTGACGTGCCGCGACTGTGAGGATGCCGGGAGAGATTGTAACGCTTCAGGTCGGGCAGTGTGGTAACCAGGTTGCGAGCGAATTTTGGCGTCAGCTGTGCTTGGAGCACGGCATTGGGCTGGATGGCAACCTGCAGGACTTCGCGACGCAGGTGAGGCGGATCGCAGGTAACCGTTGCTGGGATTATCGTTGATCGGATGACGATTTACGGACTCACTTGTTCTATCAGGGGGATGATCAGCACTACACCCCGCGCTCCTCCCTCCCTTTCCCCGCTTCAAAAACTTCCCCCAATTCCCCCTTCCCCCCGCCATTTCCGCCAGGGCGACGACCGCAAGGACGTGTTCTTTTATCAGGCGGACGACCAGCACTACATCCCGCGCTCCGTGCTGCTGGATCTGGAGCCGCGCGTGGTGAAGGGCATCCAGGCGGGCGAGTTCCGCGCGCTCTTCAACGCGGAGAACGTGTACGTGGCGGAGCACGGGGGAGGCGCGGGGAACAACTGGGCGAGCGGGTTCGACCAGGCGCGCGCGCAGCAGGAGGCGATTATGGAGATGATTGATAGGGAGGCGGAGGGCAGCGAAAATCTCGAGGCGTTTTATCTCTGCCACTCTGTGGCTGGAGGCACGGGGTCAGGTGAGACAATGCACCGGGTGAGGTGAGTGAAGGTGAGACAAGAGAGTGAACCGAGCAGGGCGTGCATGCAGCAGCAGGAGACGAGAATCTGGAAGCTTTCTACCTTTGCCACTCTGTGGCTGGAGTCAGGTGAGACAGATAAGTGGCATGATAATGGAGAATAGAGTGATGCTCGCCTCTGTTTCCTCAAGATGTGTTTTGAGACGTCTCAAAACACTTCTTCATACAAGTGGCATGATTATTGGAGAATAGAGTGATGCTCGCCTCTGTTTCCTCAAGATTCAGCATGTGTGTTCCTTTTCCCTGATCTTCTCTCCCACCCCGTACAGGCATGAGCTCGTACTTCTTGGAAGAATTATATGAGACAGGGGAACAAAGAGAAAGTGAGAAAGAAACCCGGATATGCCAACGAGGGAAATTATGGGGAGCACACTGTAGGTCTGCATGAGCTTTTTGGGGTCATAGCTCATGCAGACCTACAGTGTGCTCCCTACTGTTACCCTCTTTGGCATATCCCTCTTTCAAGTCTGCTCTCGGACCCCAAGTAGCTCGTGCAGACCTACAGCGTGCTCCCTACTGCCGTTTCTCTTTTGCAAATCCAAGTTCTTTCTCTCTTTCTCTCTGTTTCCCTGTCTCATCCCTTACAGGCGTGGGGTCATATCTTTTAAAGGAGCTGCACGATCGCTACCCCAAGAAGCCCGTGCAGACGTTCTGCGTGTTCCCCAATGATCGCCTCTTCATATACCAGGGTTTGCCTCGTGTTTTCTCTTCTCTCTATTCCCTTGTCTCATCCCATTCAGGCATGGGCTCGTACCTCCTGGAGGAGCTGCACGATCGCTACCCCAAGAAGCTCGTGCAGACGTACAGTGTGTTCCCTGCTGCTCGCCTCTTAAGAAATTCCAGGAATATTCTTTCTCTCTCTCCCTCTCTCTGTTCCTCGTTCCTTTTCAGGCATGGGGTCATATCTCCTGGAGGAGCTGCACGATCACTACCCCAAGAAGCTCGTGCAGACCTACAGCTTGTTCTTGAAAGCTCGCCCCTTTTTTCCAAAATTTCCCCTCTTCGCTCCTCTATCTTCCCCCATCTCGCCCCCAACAGGCATGGGGTCATATCTTCTGGAGGAGCTGCACGACCGCTACCCCAAGAAGCTCGTGCAGACGTACAGTGTCTTCCCGAACCAATCAGAAACGTCTGACGTGGTGGTGCAGCCGTACAACTCGCTGCTGACGCTGCGCCGGCTGACTCAGCACGCCGACAGCGTGGTTGTCCTCGACAACACAGCACTGGATAGAATCGCCGCCGAGAGATTGCGGCTGCACCAGCCGACGTTTGCCGAGACGAATTCTCTGGTGGCGATGGTCATGGCTGCGAGTACCAACACGATTCGGTACCCGGGGTTCATGAGTAATGATCTGGCTTCAATGGTGTCTTCCCTGGTGCCCACGCCGCTCTGCCACTTCCTCGTGTCCAGCTACACGCCCCTGACAGTGCAGAGGCAGGTGCGTGCATGTGTGAGCGTGAGAGTGTGTGCGTGGCGTTCTGCCTGTGTCTTCCCTGTGTCTGTCTGTGTCAATCTGTGAGCGTCGATGGCAATGGCTGCGAGTACCAACACGATTCGGTACCCGGGGTTCATGAGTAATGATCTGGCTTCAATGGTGTCTTCCCTGGTGCCCACACCGCTGTATCACTTTCTGGTTTCCAGCTACACGCCCTTGACCGTGCAGAGGCAGGTGCGTGCATGTGCAGGTGTCAGTGTGTGCGTGCGTTTTTCTCTGTGTCTAGTTCCGCGCCCTTGACTCGCTGGTGGCGATGGTCATGGCTGCGAGTACCAACACGATTCGGTACCCGGGCTTCATGAGCAATGATCTGGCGTCCATGGTGTCTTCCCTGGTGCCCACGCCGCTCTGCCACTTCCTCGTGTCCAGCTACACGCCCCTGACAGTGCAGAGACAGGTGCGTGCGTGTGTGAGCGTGAGAGTGTGTGCACGACTTTCTGCCTCTGTTTGTCGTGCGTCCGTCTGTTCTGTCCGTATCTGTCTGTCTGTGTCTTGTTTCTGTCTATATCCGTCTGTATCTTCCGGTCTGTGTCTGTCTGTGTCTGTGCCTGTCTATCCGCATCTGTTTGTGAGCGAGTGATTCGCATCTGTTTGCAAAGCCTGCCAGCACCAACACGATTTGGTACCCGGGGTTCATGAGTTAACACGACCAACACGACCTGACAACTAGGTGCCTCATAAGTACCCGGGGTTCATGAGTAAACACGACCTGACATCCATGCTGTCGTTGCTCGTGAACCCCGGGGTATTGAATCGTGTTGGTGCTGGCAGGCATTACCTCCTACCTCTCACCATCATGCTGTCTGTCTGCGTCACTCTGTGTCTGGCGGTGTGTCTGTGTATGTCTGTCTGTTTCGCATGTATGTTATGTGGTCTCATATGTGTTTCACAATTCTGATGTGTGCGTTCTCATGTGCGTTTGCTCATGTGTGTGTGTGACATGCTGCTGCATGTATGGCAGGAGAACGTTATTCGCAAGACATCTGTCTTTGACGTCATGAGGCGGCTGCTGCAGGTAGGGTAGTGAGGAGGAAATGTGTAGGATGGTAGGAAGGTGCATGTGTACTCTACTGCTGCTACATGCACTGCACTAGAACGTTATTCACAAGACATCTGACTTATACGTCATGAGGCGATGCCGCAGGTAGGATGGTGAGGTGGGGTGTGTGTGAGAAAAAACGGTGTGAGGAGGTGGGGTGTCGTCCGTTTAGGAGGTGGAGAATCGTTGACTCCAAAAATTTCTTTTGCCCCTATCGCCTGTTCACCTCACTACAGTTCGTAGCACCGTCCCACTATGGTTGTGTTCCGCATGGTAAAATGCCATGCTGACATCATCTTCCTGGGGAATGGAATGCGGTGACTTTCTCTTTTCCGTTTCCCCCCACATCACCTCTCTCCTTTCTCCCCCAACAGCCACAGAACTGGATGGTATCATCGCACTACGGGCGAGCGCGGGACGTGAGTGCGGCCCGGTACATGGCCATTCTGAACGTCATACAGGGGGAGGTGGATCCGGGGGAGGTGAACAAAAGCATGCAGCGTATCCGAGAGAAGCAGGCGGCTTCCTTCATTGAATGGGGGCCTGCCAATATACAGGTGGGTGTGTGTGTGTGTGTGTGTGTGTGTGTGTGTGTGTGTGTGTGTGTGTGTGCGTGCGTGCGTGCGTGTGCGTGCGTGCGTGCGTGCGTGCGTGTGTGTGTGTGTGTGTGTGTGTGTGTGTGTGTGTGTGTGTGCTGATGGTTGGGGAGGGGAGTAGGCAAGGAGGGGGGGAGGTGAACAAGAGCATGCAGCGCATCCAGGAGAAGCAGGCGGCTTCCTTCATTGAATGGGGCCCTGCAAATATACAGGTGGATGTGCAGTAGCAACATCTACTGTGTGGTCAGGCTGCGGGTTGCTGCATTGACTAAGCCTGGAGCGGCCAACCCATAGGTGCATGTTAGCTAGTTGTTGGGAAGTAAGAAAGGAGGGAGGTTGCATTTTGAACGTCTGGGCAACTCATTCATTTTTTAGGCGCCTCAAAAGAGGTTGCATTCTGAACGTCCGGGCGACTCAC